AGGGAAGAATTTGAGGGGTAAGGAGGGCGTGGGCAGGGGGGATGGGCAGGGGGTCCGACATGATCTGGCGGTGTAGGCAGCGCTGGAGGGGCACAGCATGAACACTGACCGCCCCTCGAGCGGCAAGCCCTCACACAGCAATGCGGGGCAGGCCACCTCGTGCACACAGCTTGACTTGGCCCCCGGCCCCTTCCCGCGCTTTCCCCTCGCTCACGATGACGAGACTCTGGGTGGAGCAGAGCATGACGCCCCACAGCACCACCAGCTTCACGCTGGACTCCTTGCGAATGATGAACCACACGACGCGCATGAGGACCAGGGAGCCTGGTAAGGAAAGGACGGCGATCCAGGAGGAATGAGGAGAGGGAAGATGACGCCCTGCTGGGAGAAGCAGCAGCGGGTGCGGGGAGACGCTGTGCCTGCGATACAGGCCTGCCGCCCATGGCCCCCTGTCCTCCCCGGCCACTCACCTATGATCACGGCGGCTGCCATCTCCAGAGAATTCTCATATACCACCGCATCAATGAGGAACGCGCAGATGAAGAACGCGCAGATCTGGGCGGGGGGATGGACAGGATGGAAGTGTGGGCGGATGCATGGGAACGGGGGAGTATAGATGTGGTCGCGAGTTGCCTGTGCAATTGGAGTCAACCACACAGGCACTGCCAAGAACTGGGGATTATAACAAGCATTCTGCACCCGCTGCAATCTCCCCTTCACCCCCTTTTGTCCACTCACCACGGTGCCGATGCTGATATGGACGGCCTCGCCATTGTCCCCGGCACTGTAGATGGAGGCCGCATATGCAATGGTCAGCGCGGCATTCAGCACCGCAAGCACCAGCAGAGCGCGGCACGCCGTGGGTAGGGCGCGCCAGGAGTGCTGCAGGCGCTGGATGCCGCGCTGGTACCACGTATGTGCCTGCGCAGGGAGGGGTGAGGGGCATCCTGGGTCTCGTGGCAAGGCCAGGGCAGGCCAGCACACTGGGAGAAGCAGGTGTGCAGTACGGTGCAACAAACGCCGCAAGCAGGGGTTTTTCCTTTCCTTGACCCACGCACCGTTCTCTCCGGTAGCTTATCGAATGAGAATGTGGTACGCAGGACATGCGTGTCGGCATCAAATGACTCGCTGGGCGTCCTCCGGCGTGCCTCCTCCCCGGCACCGAGATTAAGCTTCACCTCGGCGCCTGCACCTCGATTCGATGGGATCGCGTCAGCCATCACTCCTCAGCGCATCTGGTAGCGGGCCGGGCGCCGCAGCATCGCCCGGGCGCGAGTCTCGCAGGCTGTGGGGTCATGAAAAAGTACAGCTAGCGCTGCGAGGCGCGCATTGTCACATACAGCTCAAAAGAATATGACGTGCCCGTTGCTGGACCATTGCACAGTTTTTTCTTCGTGCCCTCTCCCCGTCAGTGCGGCTTCAATTCATACGGAAGGACCTGCGAACCCAGAGAGGGAGTACGGTCCATAGTCCCCCTTTCTCAACGTCCGGTCCGTATGCGTCGGGTCCCGCCGAGTGGCCGTCGCGAGTCTGAGACTAGCAGCAATACCGCATACTTTGCAAGTTGGCGGATCAAAACCCAAGAGATATATCCTGTGAGTCATCTACAAAGTGGGTTGAGGGGTAATCTGCGTGGTGTCATTTGTCGGAAGTGATCTAGCCCATGGAGTATGCACGAAGGCACTTACATGACTGCACCTGTCGGCTCAGCGACCGGAAGGCGTGTATATAGTACACATAAGATGGCAAAAACCTCCCTCACGCAGTCATATGCGCCCAACCCCCTAGCAGATATCTCGCAACCCATGGCGGAGCTCCCGCGCTGGCAGCCCTCCGTGGTTCGCCTGCGGATCGAGGGCATGGCCTGTGCCGGGTGCAGCTCCAGCATAGAGTCCTGCCTGGCCGGGATCGCCGGCGTCCGCCGCACGGCTGTCTCCCTCACCCTGTCTGAGGCGCGGGTGGAGTACGATCCCGCCCTCACCAACCCCACGGCCCTCGCGGCCGCCATCGCCGACTGCGGCTTCCTGTGCAGCGTGGAGGAGGACAGCACCGCCTCCATCCCGGGGGCATCCAGCGTCAGCCTGACCGTGACGGGTATGACGTGCGCCGGGTGCGAGGCGGCGGTGCGCGCCGCCCTGGCGGCCATCCCCGGCGTCCGCGAGGCGAACGTCTCGGCCACGCTGCACCAGGCGCGCGTGACCTACGACGCCGCCCTCACCGGCCCCCGCGCCCTCATCTGCGCAGTCCGGCAGGCCGGGTTCGGGGCCGAGCTGGCCCCGCGCGAGGCCGCCTCGGCCGCCGGCGCCCGCGCCCGCGCTCGCGAGCTCCGCTTCTGGAAGCACAAGTTCCTGGCCAGCCTGATCTTTGCCCTCCCACTCTTCCTCTTCGACATGGTCCTCATGTACATCCCGGGGCCCAAGCAGGTGCTGGAGTCCAGCGTCAACGGCTTCTCCCTTGGCAGCATCATCTCCTTTGCTCTCGCCTTCCCCGTCCAGGTGGGTCCAGGAGAGGAACTGGGAGGGTGTCTGGGGACTGGAAGACAGTGAAGGAAGGGGGGCGGTCCTGCCCATGCTCGATGTGGCCTGGAGGAGACATCGTGGGGTGCAAAGGTCTGTGAATCACGCCCATCAACCCCCTCCCCATGCTCCTCGCCGGCCCCGCCCAGTTCGTCGTGGGCTGGACGTTCCACATCCGCGCGCTGCGCGCGCTGCGCCGCGGCCGCGCCAACATGGACGTCCTCGTCTCGGTGGGCACCAACGCCGCCTTTGCCTACAGCATGCTGTCGGTCGCCTACCAGAAGGCCCACCCAGGTGCTTGGTCTTGCTTTCTTCTTTTGGGGGGGGGAGCTGTCGATTTGATCTGATGCTGGGATCGGGAGGAGGTGGCTCCGAACCTTTGGCTTGGAGCCGGTGCGCCGCGGCAGCACGAGCCCCTGATGCAGAGACGCCGGGCCGCGCCGGGCCCTGCGCAGCTCTGCATTCCCAGCCATGGCCAGAACCCGCACACCCCTGTCACCACCTGCCACCATTGCACACACACACCCCCCGCTTCACACACGCATGCCTGCAGAGTACATGGGGCATGGCACCTTTTTCGAGACCTCCGCCCTGCTCATCACCTTTGTGTGCCTGGGCAAGTATCTGGAGTCTGCGGCCAAGGGCAAGACCTCCCAGGCGCTCTCCGCGCTGCTGGAGCTGGCCCCCCCCACCGCGATCCTTTGCGAAACCGACCCTGGAACCGACGCCGTGTCGAGCGAGCGCGAGGTGGACGCCGGCCTGCTGCAGCCCGGCGACCTGTTCAAGGTGCTGCCCGGCGCGCGCATCCCCGCCGACGGCGTGGTGGCGCGCGGCGCGGCCTACGCCGACGAGAGCCTGGTCACGGGCGAGCCGGTGCCCGTGCCCAAGCGCTCGGGGGCTGAAGTCATCACGGGGACCACCGCCAGCGGGGGGGTGCTGTGGGTGCGCGCGACACGCGTCGGCGCCGACTCCGCTCTGTCTCAGATCGTGCGCCTGGTGGAGGAGGCGCAGCTGTCCAAGGCCCCCGCCCAGGCGCTGGCCGACCGCATCTCCGCCTACTTTGTCCCCGGCGTCATCCTGGCCGCCCTGGTCACCTGGGCCGCCTGGTACGGCGCGGGCGTGGCCGGCGCCTACCCCGCTGACTGGCTGCCGGCGGGCACCACCCCCCTCCTCTTCTCCCTCCTCTTCGGCATTGCCGTCCTGGTCATCGCCTGCCCCTGCGCGCTGGGCCTGGCCACGCCCACCGCAGTGATGGTTGGCACGGGCGTGGCGGCGCGCCTGGGCATCCTCATCAAGTCCGCCGAGGTGCTTGGCAAGGCGGTGCACCTGAGCGACGTCGTGTTCGACAAGACAGGGACGCTGACGCAGGGGAAGCCCTGCGTGGTGGATGCGCGCTTCGAGGACGCCTGCGGCGTGAGTTCTCAGTCTGTGGGGTTGGAAACGGCTGCTCCTTGTTGGGGGGGCGGGGTGCGGAGGGCAGGACTCCCGGGTGAGGAAGGGTTTTGCTGGGCGTCTGGCGTCTGTGATCAGTGCATGTCTAGCACCTACACCCATCTACCCACACACCACACCCATCTCCCCCTCGCCCCCCTCCTCCCCAACAGTGGCCGGAGGAGAGCGTGCTCTTCCTGATTGCCTGCGCGGAGAGCGGGTCGGAGCACCCCCTGGGCAGGGCGCTGCTGAAGCACGCGGCGTTGAGGCTCGACCTGCGGCTGGAGGCGAGCCTCGAAGGACCCGAGGTCGGGGATGGCGCCGCCGGCCGCGCCGCGGCAGCACTGGCCGCTGCACGGGGCGATGAGGTGAGTGCGGCCGGGTGCAGAAGACGAGGCTGGAAGGGTGTGGGGCAAGATCAAGATCCACCGGGGCCTGCCTCCACGCTCTGGGTGTGACTGCCCACGCGCCGCACCAGGGGCTCTGCTCTGCGCAAGTCGGGTCGCGCCCCGTCTCGCAAGACCCCCACCCCCACCCTCCCACCCTCCCACCCCCCTTGCCACGCCGCAGGCGCCGGCATCGCACGACGGCACGATCCCCCAACCCTCCTCGGCCACCCCAGCCCACACGCCCATCCCCTGGCTGACCGGGATCTGGGACGCCACGCCCCTGCCCGGCCGCGGCTTCACCTGCTGGGTGAAGTGCCCAGCGAGGCGCCTGCCAGCCGCCGCCGCCGCCGCCGCCGGGACGGCGCCGCGCGAGGTGCGCGTCGTGCTGGGCAACCGCGCGCTGATGGTGGAGGAGGGCGTGGCGGTGCCCGCGGAGGTCCTGGACTGGGCCCGAGCACGCGAGGCAGGCGGCGCGACCTGCGTGCTGGCGGCGCTGGCCGGCGTGCATGCCGCTGCCTTCGCACTCGCCGACCCGCTGAAGCCCGAGGCGCGGGCCGTGGTGGCTGCGCTGCGCGCCGCCGGGCTGCGCTGCCACGTGGTCACCGGCGACAGCTGGGCCACCGCGCGCGCCACCGCGCGCGCGATCGGCATCGACGCCGTCCAGGCGCAGGCCACGCCGGTGGGCAAAGTGGCGGCCCTGCGCGCGCTGCAGGCCGCCGCGCGCCCCGGCCGCGGCGTGGCCATGATCGGCGACGGCGTGAACGACGCCGCCGCGCTGGCCGCCGCCGACGTGGGCGTGGCGGTCGGGTCGGGCGCGGCGGTGGCCATCGACGCCGCCGACGTCGTGCTTATGCGCGACGACCTGGCCGACGTGCTGGCCGCGCTGCACCTGGCGCGCGCGACGCACGCCCGCATCCGGCTCAACTACCTCTGGGCGTTGGGCTACAACGCGCTGGCCGTGCCTGTGGCTGCCGGCGCGCTGTACCCGCCCCTCCGCTTCCAGCTTCCCGCCTGGGTGGCCGGGCTGGCCATGGCCCTCTCCTCCGTCTCCGTCGTCTGCTCCTCCCTGCTCCTGCGCCGCTGCCGCCCGCCGGTCGTGCAGGGGTGCGGCGGCGAGGAGGGCCGAGCGTCGGCCGCGCCAACCCCTTGGTGGCGCTGCCAAGGCGGCCGCGGCACGCCCCGCCCGCGCCCGCGCGCCGAGGTCGGCCTGTCCAACTCCATCGCGGGTTCCCTGGGCCGGATCGGGGCGAGCTGATAGAGGCCGCCCCACTTGGTTGAGTCGATGCCAGGGCCAAGTACTGGACCGCCTCTGCGGTGCCTCCTCAATTGCTTTGCCGAGAGATAGACTCCCAGGGGAAGGCTCCAGGCACCAGGCCCGAGAGGAAGCTGGCCCCCCCTCACCGCCCTGGCATCTGCAAGTGCGGACAGCACTACCTCTACCTCCTCGACCACCAGCCTGCCACCACCCTCTCGTTTAGCCTACGTGTACAGACAAAATCATGTGGGAACAGCACAGGGGAGAGGTACCAGAGCAGGGCTCATGGGCCCGTTATTTGCCAGGGAGGGCAGCCTCACGGCAGGAGCCAATGCGACATGGAGAGAAAAGGGGGGGACAGGTCAACGGCTGCACGCTCGTGCTATGACTTGGGACAGGGTATCGGGGGGGTGACAGAGCCTGCCTGTCTGCACTGGCCCAGTGGACTACCCCGCGGGCAGCGCGTGCGTGGGGTGGGAAAAGGCGTGCGGTCAATGGGAGGCAGGCGCGCGCCGGGCTCCGTGCCCACGTGGCGATGACGTCGAACATGCGTGGGGTGTCTGCGTCGCAGCGCCTCAGGCCGCCTGCTCCAGCCCGGAGCCCTTGAACCTGGGCGCACGGGAAAGGGAGATAGATGGGGGTTGTGGATGGCGACGATGCCGTCGCCTGGGCTCTGCCCGGGCATCGGGGGAATAACAGGGCATGGTGGGGGGGGGGTCGCCATGGGAGTCCCCACCCCACCCTTGCGCGCCCTGGAATGGCCCGCCCCGATCCCAACACCTTGTGCCGCAGCTCCCTCTCCCGGCGCTCACCCATGCAGGACCGAGGAGCTGAAGACCGGGAGGTGCTCCCGCCCCTCACCCGCCGGAACAGACCAAGCCCCCTCCGCCGGCGCGGCCTCGGCCACGCGCCCCGCGGCGGCCATCGCCCGGCTCAGCGCCTCTACCTCAGAGCCCCACCCGCGGCGCTCCCCCTCCTCCCTACCGCGCTTGACGGGCGCGCCGCGGTGAGGCGGCGCCACCTGCGCCAGGGCGCGCTGCCAGGCGAGGGTGTCCAGCGAGCGCGGCGTGGCCGCCGCGCCCCGCGCCTCGCCCCGCGCCTCGCCCGCCAGCAGCGTGGTCAGCGCCGCCACCAGCTGGCGCAGGAGGTGCGGCGAGGCGGCCAACAGGCCGGCCAGCACCTGGCAGCCCGGGTCGCGGCGCAGGCTCAGCTTGAGCAGCGCATGCACGGTGGAGCGCGTGGCCGCCTCGCCCGGCGCCGGCGACGCGGCAGCCCGGTCTGCGCCGAGGGCCGGCGCCGCCTGCGCTTGCGCCTGCGCGGCGGGCGCAGGCGGCGTGGGCGAGCGCAGGGGGGTTGGGGGCAGGGAGGGCCGGGCGCGCGCGCGGGCGCGCGCGCCGCCCACCGTGGGCGGGGCCTGCGCGCACAGCACGCTGAGCAGGACCTCCAGGGCGCTGCCGGGGGAGTGGGGATCACTGGTCAGCGCGGGGGCGGGGGAGGTGGGCGTGTCCCGCAGGCTGTCCGACTCGGTGCTGGAAGCCGTGGCCACAGACTCCTCCATCTGTGGGATGGGAGGGGGTGGGAGGCAGGGATTTACTTGAGACTCTCGCAATCGTGACTCGAGGGGCACTAAGATTGGGGCAAGGGCCCAGGTGGTCCAAGGGGCAGGCAGCTTCGAAGGGGCATCTGGGGCCAGGGGGCCCCCGCTTCCGAGTGCCACATGCACAGGCCGGGGAGGAGGGTGGCGGGGAGCACAATAGGACCGAACAGCCACCCCCCCCAAAACCATTCACTGACTCCTTACCTGCAGGGCAGCGTCTGAGAGCCGGGCCAGGGAATGCAGGTCGCGAGGGTCCGGTTCGTCCCGGGGGCCCCTCCGCCTGCTGGCTCTCACGGGCGCCTTCTCCCGAGCCTGTGACGCGTGCAAGGGGGCGAGAAAGTGTGCTGAGCGAATGGTCATGGCAGTGGCGGAGTGGGGGGGAAGCCGTGAGGTGGTTTCCCGGGAAACCGACGCGGACCACCGCCCGGGCGGGCAGACAAGCCTACCGTCAGCAGGGGCCGTCTTCTCTCTGCATGAGGAGTTGAAGGTGAAACATGAGGAGCCACAGAGCCTGCCAACGCAATGCGAGAGGATTCGCACCGGCTCCAAAGTCCCGACCGCAGCCTCGAGGGCACCGCGTCACACCACTCACCATGCTTCCGCGTAGGCTGTTCCCGAGCATTGAGTGAGCCAGACATGTTCTCACGTGCATTAGAAGGCGTGGTGCGCCAGCGTCCCCTCATAGAGAGAAACTGTCAGGGTTATACCGGGCGTCCCGAGTATGAAGCCGGCAAGTATGGGGGGTCGAACCGAACGTAATCAGGGTCAGGGGGCGGATCACATACTATGACGGTACATGAGTCAAATGGTATATTTGCATTGGCAGGGCCAGGACAGAACCGGCTTTTTGCGACCTTCCGGAGCAGATATCTGGCTCGGAGCGGGGCGGGTGAATGCCCCGGTTTCATGGACTGTCCGATCGTGTGAGCGCCCATGTGGCGACCCGGGGCGACCCCTCGTGCGGAAAAACAGTGTGACGCTTTTCCCGTACCCAAGCGAGTCTTGTGTGAATAGTTTGGCAGCATATACAAGTGCATGGGTGATTTGCATACTGACTTTCGCATGTGGACCCAAGCTCAGGCAAAGATTCCTCGGGTGCTACGGTCTGGCTGCCACAAACTAACGCCGTCATAACCGCGCACAGAGCGACGACCAAAAGACGGACATTGTGATATTAGAAGCCTCTGGTTGTTTCCATCGCGATTTGGTCGCCGTGAAACATGGTAAGACACCTCGTACGCCGTGCGTGTCCCCCTCTCTCGGACGGGCAAATTACAGAAAGTCCAGAGGGTGGGGTTATACTCCCTTACATCAGGACTCTCACTCTTCAAAAGACTTATTACAGCATTATATCAAGCTTCACAACCCCTGAATCTCACCCGGGGGATTAACACGCAGATGTGGCTCAGGAGCAGGAATCCACGATGGCCAGAATTCCGAACCGCCCGTAATGTCCGAAGATAACGATTCAGATTTCATGACACTGTACTGGAATCGCAACACTCCATACTTTGATATGCCAGCAAGTCTTCCTGATAGGGTGCACTGGTCTTCAAGCACCAGCACGCTGCCTTCATTAAGGACCTACAAAAACAAGAGCGGAATGCGGCGGAGATGACGTGGCCGTTTGCTTCTGGGCGGGAAAGCGATCGAGCTGGGCCCATGTTTGTAGTGAGGGTCAAACGATGCACCACACTTGGCGCAGATTCTGATGGTCGAGATCCAGTGACAGCATTCGTCTTTCAGATGATCAATTGCAAGCGTCGGGAGGACATCTGATGCATGGATTGAAGGAGCGTGTGCCTGTGGTCAGGCTGCCATGCGAATCATGCCGCCAACCGCGAGGATGCCGGCCCGGCGAGGCAACACTATTACATGCAACCTTCAGGATGGTCAATCGCCGCAAGTCTCCGTGCGTCACGCCAAGATAGCCGACATCCCTGCAGCAGCGCGCCTGTTTGCACAGGCATGTGGCTGGTGTGAAAGGCGTGCATGCCTGTTGCCCTTCGCCTGCAACAGGCACGCAGTCAGGCAGCCGTGCACTACCGTCAATAAACATCTGACCACGCTGGATCCCCTCAATCCTCGACGATGTATCATTGCGATCATGTTTGAGCCCTGGAAGGGTCGCCCAGCTACCCACCCTCTCATGCCAAGCAGGTGTTTGAGGACGATGACAGTCGGACCCCTTTCCTGCCTCAGCGCCGCGTCGGTCCTGGCGAGTGGGAGGCCCACCTCCGGAATGCCTTCTCCGAGAAGCTGGTGGCTGCCAGGACGGAACGCCAGCTGACCTCTCGATTCGGGGCCAGCCATGCCGCCCTCCAAGAGCATGCAGTTGCCCGAGGTCGACCGTGCCCCACATCGACGCCGGCCCTCAGCGCGCGTCAGCGCCAGCGCCTGCGACGTGCGCGCCACTACTCCTGCCTCATGGCCGAAGAGCGGGCTGGTGGGGATCTGGTGGGTGCCGTCACCCTGCACCTGGCCTGGCCGGATGCGGTGCTACCCGCCCCCCTTCCCCCCCTGCGCCAGCTCCGGGCCTGCATCTGCAACCTGGCCGTAGCGCCCCGGTCAAGGTGGGCACGGAGTGTCTGACAGTGGGGGCTGCGGCATGCGATGGCATCACATGATGCATGCAGGTGAGGGCATGCCACCGGCCGAGGATCCACTCACAGTCATCGCCCTGAGGGAGGGGGGAATGTTCCTCCGCGCGATGAGCCACATGATGCAGCAGGGCCTGCTCTTCTCAAAAACCACCCTGGCTCCAATGCTCCTCCCAGGAGGCGAGGCGTGGCGAGGCTGCTCCTCCAGCGCTGCGAGGAGGCTGCGAGGTGGTGGGGTCAGGACTCGGTCTGGCTGCAGGCCGACCCGTGGAACGAGGCGGCGCTGGACCTGTACCACACTTCCGGGTACGCCACTGTCGAGGACGTGCCCTGGCATCGCCCCTTCCGGGTGGTCATGAGGAAGGAACTGCCTGGGAGGCGGGCCGCTGGACCTGGCGAGCCCGACCTCCTGCCTGGCAATGGAGCGGGGGTGTTCATCTGGAAGGCGGGTGCGGCCAGGGCCAGGGCCCCTGGCAATCTGGAGTCTGAAACCTAGGCGCGACGTAACAGCTAACTAGGTACGCTCACCATCGTGATGGCATGAGTCAGTCTTGTTTCCTTGTGGAACTCTCGGACACATCGCCACTGTAGAGCATGGCTGGCTTCTAGCAGAGTCTGTTTGCCAGCTTTACACCTGTGCCAGGATCTCTATACACTCCACCCCAGGGTGTCATGCACTGCAGGCACTTTGCCGCTTGTATGCATGCGATCACAATTTGCCCCGTACAATCACTCCAGATCGATCAGCGCTGCCTGTGTATTGTTTTAGGACCATGGTAGGTCCTGTACTCCTCCTCCCTTTTGAGGGTCTTCAGCCTTGTACAAAGGTGTGGTCAACACCCATCCCACGCATGTGGCCCTCCTGCCCAGGACATAGCAGCACTCCCGTACTTCACTGTTACACCTCACCAGACCGTATCACACACAGGCACAGGGCAGTGTCAGCCACGAAGGGTCACACAAGAAAAGGCACCAGCAGCCTACCAGCCGCGGGGTTGCCAGGCCAGGTCCCCCACGATGTCGTCGATCTCCTTCTTCACGTCGTCCGTGATTTTGTCGATGAAGTTCAGGGCCTTCAGGTTGTCCTCGAGCTGCGACGCGCCAAGAGGCGGCAGAGTGAGTTCCCAGCTATGGGGTGGATGCGCAGCATGTTGCAAGCATCCAGCACACTTGGGACAGCCATGTGCACCACACTGCACCAATCCTCCTGTGATCAACACCCCCCGCCCCCTTTCCCCTTTCTCCCCCCAACCCCCCTCACCTGCGACCGCTTGGAGGAGCCGGTGATGACGGTCGAGACACGGGGGTTGGCTGCGCACCACGCCAGCGCCAGTTGCGCGGGCGTGGCCCCCATCCGCTCGGCGATGGGCTTCAGCTTGTCCACGGCGTCGATCTGGGCGCGCTTGCCCTCCATGATGCCCTTCCTCAGCCAGGCGAACTTCTCCACCGACAGGCGGCTGCCCTCGGGCACGTTCCCGCCTGAGTACTTGCCGGTGAGGATGCCGGAGGCCAGCGGGCTCCACACCGTCAGCCCCAGCCCGTGCTTCTCGTACACCGGCGCGAAGTCGCGCTCCACCTTGTGGCGCTGGAAGATGTTGTACTCCGGCTGCTCCACCGCGGGTCCCACCAGGCCCAGCCGGTCCGCCACCTCCCAGGCCTCCAGCAGCTGGGCCCCAGTCCACTCCGAGGTGCCCCAGTAGAAGGCCCAGCCCCGGTCCAGCACGTGGTTGAAGGCGCGGACCACCTCCTCCATGGGCACCGAGGGGTCGGGACGGTGGGCCAACAGCAGGTCCACGTACTCCAGCTGCAGGCGCGCCAGCGAGGCCTGCACGCCCTCCACGATGTGCTTGCGGGACAGGCCCTTGGCGTTGATGGTCATGTCGGGAAGCTGGGACCCAAAGTACACCTAGGTGGTTCATTTGATTATTTTATTTTTGGGGGAGGGAAGGGGGGGGGGGGGGGGGGGTGTAAACAGTGTGTGAGAGGGCGGTACAAACATGCCCAGGTAAATCCAGGAGGACGAGAGAGGCAGTGCGGGGCTGTTCCAGGAACGAGACAATGCATGCAGGGGCGGCAGCCCTCACCACCATGGGAATACCTTGGTGGCGACCACGATGTCCTCACGCTTCCAGCCCAATTCTTTGAACGCCTTGCCCATCAAGATCTCGGCCTGGGGGAGGGGGATGCAATCCGGGTGAGGCGCTGCCCGCTGCGCACCTTCAAGCGGCATGGCAGGCTGTGCACCAATGCACCTGATGATTCAATGCATGCATGCATGCAGTAACACCCCGCCTCACGCCGGTCTCGCACCTTTCCAGAGGAGTAGTTCTCGGCATTGTCAAAGCTGGGGGTGGTTAGTGGGAGTGGGCGGGCATGGGACATCGTAGACAGTCATAATAGAGCTATAGATGATGAAACATGTAGGCATCTCCGCCCCATTTCGGGTAAGCGATTGTCACTGGCACGTCACCATCGGACAGCCCGCCCACCGGACCGGCCACCCCCACTCACTAGTTGATGCCCGCATCGTATGCCGTCTTGAGCAGCTCCTTGGCCTCCTCGAGGCCCAGCTGGTCGCCAAAAGAAACCCAGGCTCCGTAGCTCAGAGCGGAAACCTGTTAAGATCGTGAGGAACCCACCCTGAGCTCCACACGCGATCCCTGTCGACCGGAGTGGACCTGAGCACCGGCAGCCCTCACAAAACCCAAGGACATATACCTTGAGTCCAGTCTTTCCCAGCTGCTTGTACACCATCTTTGGGGTCTCGGACATTGTGCTTGGGTTGGGGACTGCACGGGTTTCGAAGACGAAGTCTGAGTTTGGCGAATCACTGCTAGAACCCTGCGCTCTATATATTGCTTTTTTGTATAAGATTTCGCGCTTTTGCTCTTAAATAAAAGAATGCGGTGGTGTTTGGTCCATATGCGCCGCGGGGCATTGCATCGCAGGGCGGACCCGGGCCGAACCTATGGTGAAGTGGGGCGGATCGACGAAATAGACCTGAAGCAGTCCTGGTACAAGGTATCCGACAGCCCTCTTGTTTGGAAGTTCCTGCAATATACAGAGTGGTGAGGAAGTCCTCATCTGGTATATGAAGAGCCACTCTTGGGGGTGAGCTGATCTTCCGGTATGCTGAGTAGATCATTGGCAAGGATAGCCATATTTGTATTATCGCCTTTCATAGTGTGTGCTGGGGGTAATTGGAGGCGTTCACTGCTTGTGAGAACTGCATCCTCAGCATTACAGCTTCTATCTGCGCACAACACGGCATCATGTCGTGAATGATTGAAGTGGCATAGTGATGCCCCGTCAGGTGCTGCAGTTTCGATCTGCAGATCTTTTCCAAGCCCAGATTGGCTAAACATACCAAAACTCTTGAGTCTCCATGCAGTGGGCGGGAGGTACACATTCGTAAGTCTGACTGGATTCAGTGTGTCTCTCTCTGGGGCGTATCTTAGAAGGACCGGTCAGTCTCTACGGAACGGGTATGTTATGTTGCAGGTCCCATCCACACTCTTGAACGGATTCTCATTTCAACCATCCCTAGTTTATAGAGAGGTGCTGTGGAGTAGCGGCTTGCTTATCTCATTGGCATAAGACAGTTGCATATCTGATTGATGGTCAACCTTGGTTGGGATTGTAGTATAAGGCGCGAACGCTGTCGTGGCCCGAAATGCTTACGGGACCTTTACTTCAGACACGCCGAATGCGGGGGATATCCTCCAGAAGAATGTTCTTAAGCTGCAGCAGACGTTGAGCGGGTGTTCGAGCGGAAGGAGAGCAGTGCTCGATTTGCCAGCGATAGGAGGGGGGAGGGAGCCCACGGCCGAAGCACTGCCGTTGGCACGCGGGCCATGGATGTCAAAGATATCCTCGGAGTGTCGCGCTCCGCCAGTGCCGTGGCGGAGCGGGTGGAGAAGGTCAAGGAAAAGAAGCTTGTCAAGCCCAAGGGGATGAGCAGGTGAGCACCCGAGCTGGCTCGTGTCGTGGCGCTTTCGTCGACGATGGCCAGGAGGGCAGGGTAGGGAGCAGGCGATACCCACAACGATCACCCAATACTCCTTCACCTGGACATCTGCAGGGAGGCGTTTGCACTGCTCAGCGCCTCCCACCCGCTGCACCCCTCCCACCTGGCGGGCGACCTGCGCAAAGAGGCAGCTTTAAAAGCGACAAGGGAGAAGACCAAGAGGTCGAGTCGAGGTATGTTAGGGCGAAGGGAGAGGCATGATGAAATGAGGAAGTGAGCAATGCGAGAGCCCGCATGCCTTTCAGGCCTAAACTTTTGGCACTCTGTTGAATGCTCTTGCACGAGGGGTGGAGCAAGTCGACAGCGAGGCACCCTTGGAGTGGCAGATTGCCCTGTTTTTGCAACGGAACTCCCCTCGAATACAGACATATTTCGCCTCACTCCTCCACAGGGCGGGCCGTCTTCCAGTGGCGGCCGTTCGCCAACCCTGGCCGGGCAGACGGTCTCCAGCTCAAGCACTGGGTGAAGTGCTTTCAGGATGCTGCAGGCAAAGTCGCCCCTGCGGACCCTGGTGAATACAGCTTCGCCAAGTACAACAAAAAGGTGGGCCTGGGCGGAGTGGCACACTGTTAGGTTTGGCTGGGGAATGGATGCGCCATCAACTGCAAGATTGATGCCACTGTCTCGGCGCCTTCCATTTAGACATTGCGGTCTGAAAATGCAGCACTGATGCAGACACACGTTGCACCTGCTCCTGTCTTTTCTCCCCTCCAACGCCACCACTGCTCATTGGCATCGCCAGGTGGTAGTGCTGCGGTACGACGATGAGGAGTGGACCTCCCTGATCACGAAGCAGGAGGGTTGGAGCCGGGAGGAGACAGACCACCTGCTGGACGTCGTCCAGGCGCTGGATCTTCGCTGGCTGGTCATAGCCGACCGCTATGAGGTGTGCGGAGCGGGGGAAGAGGGCGGTGGGTGCAGGGCTGGGCGCTGCTGGGTGCTGGAGAGGCCTTTCCATCAGACTGGTCACTCCTTGTAGGCAAGCGAGCAGGAGTGGATGATCCCTTGCACAAGTGAACCTCCTTCCCCCTCTCGCAGTTTGAGGGCGGCGCGCGACGATCCATGGAGGACCTGAAGGAGCGGTACTACGCGGTCCAGCGGGATTTGCTGGTGCGGCGCGCTTTCCTCTTGACATGCTGGGACCTGGAGATGCTGCCTGCATGCTCTGGAAGCCTGCCTGTCTTCCATGCAGTTGCTTGCAACAATCTGCTTGCGCGCTGTCCTCCTGAAGCAGGATCCTGCTGCTGCTCCCCTGCCATGTGACGGGATGTGGGCTCAGTGGGTGCCTATGGCTTTGAGACAGCCTTGCCAGCCGATCTGAAACCCCTTCTATACCTGTCTCCCTTGTGCAGGTCGGGAGGGCGGGCGGTCCCGAGCCCGTGGCCCACGAGCCCCTGGTGCGGCACCCTTATAATCGCCAGCACGAACAGGAAAGGAAGAAGGGGCTTGAGCTCCTTCTGGACCGCACGAAGGAGCAGGTGTGGATGTGGGTTGGAGATCAACCGGGCCAAGGCACACCTGCTCTCGGCGTGTGCCCCAAGTTATGGCCCGCCTCACACAGACACATGGCTCGGCCATTCCTGCTTCGTCGCTGCCTCAGTGCTCGCATGCCCTCAGCTTCCCCCCTCCCCTGCACAGGAGGAGGCCGAGTCCCGGGTGCTTGCGGAGGCCGCCGCTATAGAAAGCGCGCGCAAGGAGGAGGAGGCGGCCCGGAGGGCCTCTGCAGAGCATGGTGCGTGTCTGGGCGGTGGGGGGTCCTGGCACTATGGTGACGAAGGGAGTGTTCAGAGGGTGGGGGATTGCTCTGCAGGTCGCACTGCCAAAAGCCTCCCCCCCTCCAGTCACCGCGAGCGTCGATCTGTTCCTCACTTGCCGATGCTGGCCTGTGGTCTGCTTGCCGACTGCTCGCCTCCCGCCATGCCCGGCACCCCTTCACCCATGCCCTCCTCCGCAACTCTTCAGGCGGCAGCCCTGGGCCCGGCGGCGTTCCCCAGGAGGCAGCAAGCACGGCGGCGGCCGCCGGCCCCGGCCCCGTGTCCGCCTTCTCCAACGAGCCGGAGTTGGGCGTGCCGCCGGTCTTCGATGAATCCGGCAAGCCCGCCGTGCCCCCCAAGCGCGCCATCGTGCGCGGCGCCTTCTGCCGAGAGCTGGCAGAGGGCGTCGCCGCCCGCCTGCAGCCCGCCAAGTGAGGAGAAGGAGGAGGGCTGTGCAGTGGTGCAGGGCCCGTACATGCTGCGACCCCCGGCATGACTCGGCACCTTGCCCTCATGGGGTGATCTTCACGATGACCTTGCCTCGGCTGTGTCAGGCGTGGGGGGTCGTTGAGTGCGCGTCACGCACCACAGCGACCTTCCCGCTCGCAGTCTCTACATGCTTTAGCCCCACGAGGTGACACTCTCACCCCCTCTCCTGGTCGCGTACAGGGTGCAGAAGGCGCTGGAGGGGAGCATGGCGGAGCTCAAGGTCACGGAGTTCCCGCGGGCGCCCACGCGGGCGGCCTGCGGGGCCTACATCTCGCTGCAGGCGGAGGTGCTGGCGCTGCTGGAGCTGAAGCGCCAGCTGGCGACCAACCAGGCGCTGGCGGCTGGGAACAAACGCCCTGCGGCCAGGATGGAGGGCGGGGATGACGGCACGCCACGCTCCGACAAGCGCCAGCGAGTCGCCCGGAAGTTTGCCGACGACTGACCGGCCCTGCCACGTACATGCTAATCGATGCTGTTGGGGATGGTGACAAGGGGAAGAGGCAGGGCAAGAAAGGGCTCCGGGTTGGAGACCTTCGATCCCAGGTAATGTTTGGGATGGGTGAGCTCATTACTCGAGGTCGGTAAGGGGAGCACACCCGACAGCTGGCTTTCGGAGGTGCTTCGCGCCCTGGACGGCATCCGGCTCGCACGGGGCTGCGACATGGAGCACTGATGCTGCCATTCAAAAATTGTTCATCATTCACCAGCAAATAAAATGCCCTGCAGCATTTAGAGCCGACCGTGACAGGCGCCAGCATCCCAAAGGTCCATGATCAATTCTGCGCCACAGTGGCACCCAAAGAGACAAATCTTCGTGCCTGCATCCTTGACTGTCCATTTACAAGGTGCAGCGGCATGTTTCTGTGTCTTCTAGCAGCCAGATCGTAACGACAAACTTGGTTGGATGGCTGACGAAGCCGCTCAAAACCCGTCGGGTGGGACCCCTCAGTCCCGGGCCAAAACCCTGCCGCCTCGTTTCAGCGAGGATGCCGGGCCGGCGCCGGCACCTGCCCCTAGTACACGTACTGAATTGATTGCAGCATCTGCCGCCGCCCTCCAGGCAGCCAGGCATTCCACTCCAGGGCAGAAGGAGAGGCTGATGGAGGAAGCAGCCAGCAAGGTGGGTCATGCTGTGGTATCGCAGACTGCTGCATCGCCAGGTGCCTATGGCCAGTGCAAGCTTGGAGGGAGGGGCACAATTCAATACTTAGTCTTCCGCACTCAGGTGTTGCATGGCCTCCAAGAAAGGAAAGCCGCGGCGCAGGCCCGCCCGGGCGAAGCCCCACCTGCAGCAGAGTACACCCCGCCACAGTGGTCTGGGCCACCTCCACCGTGAGTCCTTGCTTGCAATATCACCCCTTTTATTGCAGTGGGTGGTTGTCGCAGGCCATTGCCTTGTAGCTCATACACGCCTCAACCATCCATGACGTAATGGCCTCTGCCCTATGCATCAAGCAGAGGCATGGAGTATGGGATGGAGGTCATGCGTGGCGGGGCCCTGCTGACTCAGCTGGACCTGAAGGACAAGGCATACTACACCTTTGGGCGCACGCCAAACAACGACATCACCTTGGAACATCCCACCTCCTCTCGGTGCGGGTGCAGTGGGTAACTTGCCGGGGTTGATGCTACTTCCTGGCAAGTCTCTTGGCATGTGTCGCCTAGCGAGTGCGGACGTCGGCAGTGCACCGCTGTTGTCCGTCACTCCTTGGCCCCCAAACCCTATGCAGGTTGCATGCTGTGCTGCAATACCGTGGGTCAGATGGCGCAGCCTTCATGTATGACCCGGGCAGCACGCATGGGACATTCATAAACAAAGTCCGCTTGGAGAACAAGAAGCATGCACCTCTGAGGTACGACCTGCCGGTAGGGTGGAGAGGCATTGGGCAATCCTATTGCACATGCTATGTCCCTTTTCCACAATGCACAGATGTCATGGACAGTGCCCTTGACACCCTGGATGAAATGTGAAAGACTGATTCCTTCTTGCGCCATATATGTGGAATGCTGGATCCCCTGTCGAGGAGCTGGGACGCAAATGATGCTATCTTCCCTCCATTTCCAGGGTGGGTGACATAGTCCGCTTTGGGCAGAGCAGCCGGCTGTACCTGTTCACAGGTCCAGCGGAGCTGCTGCCGGAGGAAGGTCCCTCCCGAGACCAGCGCATGCAACTCAAAGCGCTCGAGGCACGTATATGGCTCGCACAGAGAACTGAGCGCCAGCGGCTGATCAAATTTTTGAAATCTGTGACTGTGCCAACTGGCATGTCAGTGGACAGCAGCACAGTGCCCGTGACTTGTATGAAGCTCAATTTCCGTTGGGTGTGGCTGGCCCTCGTTTTACGGACCACACATTTCTGTTGCTGCACTGGTGGAGCCAAAGCCTCACATGTGCCCCTCTTCTGCAGGCAATGGCGGCCCGGAAGGAACGAGAGGCTGCCATTGCCAAGGCTCAGATGGAGAGTGCGATTGGTGGAGGAGCGAGCTGGGGGTTCTCAGAGGATGCCGTGGAAGATACGGAAAACCTAGGTGAGGATGGACGGCCAAGGAGGAAATTCAGGGACTCTCCCGCTTTTCACAGAGTGCTGATATGCCGAGCTTTGCCTACAACACCTGTGCTTCCCAGCTCAATGTCACACGCTTGGATGCACTCGAGGTGGGGTGCTTCACCTGTTTATACACGGTGTGGGCATGAGCCCTTCCACTCAGCGTCATGCTGTGGCAAATTCAAAGGTCACTTCTTCCCCCTGTGCTACACTGCTCTCCAGAGGCATTGGACTGGAGAGCACACGCGGCCAACCGAGGCCTGTCCGATAAGCAGCAGAAGCTGGCGACCAAGATCCGTAAGCTGGAGCTGCGGTGTGCCACTCTGCAGACTGAGAGCGAGAGGATCAAGGTGACTGAAAGGGACTGGTCTTCTCTCGGAGTGGACCCTTGCGTCAATCATTTGCCCTGAAGGTGAAGAAACATGGCTCCTTGCCACTCGCAATCTCCTGGCACCCACTCTGTATCATGATCCATGTCGGCAGGCAAAGCAGGGGTCCATGGAAGAGCTGTCGGCAGGTCAGGCAACCACGCTGCTTCGGAATGAGCAGGAGGTCGACAGGGCAACGGCTGAGATGGAGGAGATGGAGGAGACTCTCCTTGAGTCACTGCGGTGGGTGGGATGCTTGACGATATCCTGCTGCAGAGACAGGGCGAGCTGCGGGCCTTGGAGGTTATACTTCTGCTGCAAGTTGTGTGTGAGGTTCATGACTTGCTCGGTTGCAATCATACTGCATGGAACATCAGAACCATGCCCTGCACGTGCTCCTGTGCTCGTGCAGTGGCACCCGCTGCAGCCCAAGGCTTGGATGTGGGTCTCGCCATACCCTGCAATCCCCCTCCTCCACTCGCAGGGACTCGATAAGGAGCAAGGCGGCTGCAGCTGCAGGAGGCGGCGAGGCAGCGCAGAAGAAGCGACGGCGGCGGGACCCTGACGATGACGATGACGACCAGGGTGGGTTGGATCCACTGCGGGTTCCCTGTGCTGGTGATCACCCTTGCCAATGTATTTCAGACGCAGAGGTGCGAGTCTCGATATGTCTTGACGCTGACGCTGACCTGTCTGGGCCTCAATGCATCTGTCTCAGCCCACCGCTACCCTTCATGCAGAGTGGTCGGGGAAAGAGGACGGCTTCATGTATGATCGAACGCAGGGCACCCGCAAGTCTCGGGCCAAGGCTGCCCGCGGCGCCCGCTCCGGACCCCAGGCTGCGGACGCGGCCCTGGACGCCGCCTCGCTGCTGGCACGCAAGGCGCTGCTGGAGCAGGAAAGGACGGCGCTGCAGGAGCGGCTGGACCTGGCGCGGCGAGACGAGGCGAGCCGGGCCGCAGGCGGGGCGGGGGTTGTTGCGACCAGCGAGGCGCTGCCTGAGTCCGCGGAGGCTGCCCCGGCGAGCGGGTCCAGTGAAGCAGTAGTGGACAGCCTGGATGCCTTCATGACGGAGGTAGGCAGCCGACTGGAAAGCGAGAAGGTGGAGGTGCTGACGCGGCAGCTGGCTGAGGTCGAGGAGCAGCTAGACCAGACGCAGAAGCTCATCCACATTGCCGATCCCGAAGGGTGAGGTGGCGGCCGGGTCCGTAATGGATGTGAAAGGAGCGGCTTGACTCGATGACATGGGCCCTGGACCTGCAAGGCAATGGCTGTTTGAGGACAGAAGATTCAAGGCACCCAACAGCCTTGCTGGCATGGCCACCCTGAGGGGCACAAATGCCTGCATTACTCGACTGTCTGAAGTCAAAGTTTGCTGCAGATGCCGTCCCGCCAGGCTGCATCAATCCCTCCCTACACACACACATAGGTACTTTGCCTCGGGGTCTGTAGCAGCCCAATCAGCAATTGCAAAGGCCACCCAGCGACTGCTGGACGAGGAAGCGCAGCAGAAGGAGCGGGAGCAGTCCAAGGTGGTGGATCCACAGAATTGCTCGTGACATCCAGGGGGCATGATCGAGCTGACGGAATGCTTGCTGAGGCGGGCCGCACAATCTGAGGCCAGAGACCCGGCTGATGGGGGCTTTGGGCGCGTCTGCAGGTTCCCATGTGCCACTCTCGGCCCGTGCATTTTCCGTGCAGGAGGCACAGCAAGCGGCACCACTGCCCCCGGGAGCGAAGGAGGGTGGGGTCGACCCTGGAGCTGCTCCGAATGCCCAGCCTCCTGCGGCTCTGGCCGTCCAGGACCCAGCTCCCACTCCCCCCTCATCGTCCATCCACTCGCTGGCGGGCACGGAGGAGGGACCGCGGGGCGGCCTGGAGCTGAGGAAGGGCCCAGCACACACTGCTTCCAGCGCCTGTGCAGCCGCGATGGGCAGGGCGGCCCAGGAGGTGAGACCGTCCGGACAGGGCCCCACCCTCACCATTACCCCCTACCCCCCCTCCTCCTTTGAGGCTCGGCGTGCCGGCATCGCAGCACACCTGGCCAGCCTGGCGGACTCCAAGCGGGAGAAGTCGCTGAGGGAGGGCGTGGAGGCGGCGAAGCCCGAGGGCGCGGCCGCCCGGCTCGCTGCCGACCTGGATGCCTTGCGCGCCGCCCGCCGGCGCACCGCCGGCGACGCAGGGGATGAGGAAGCTGAGTGGAAGCCGCCGTCCGGCCAAGTCGGCGACGGCAGGGTCGCGCTGAATGACACTCTGGGGTACTGAAAGATGTTCTCTGGTTTGACGGCGAGTGTGAGGACGACGGCGGGGGCTGATGTATCACTTCCTTGCTTCCTGGGTTGCCTTCATGCAGTGCCTCCATCCCTGGTACCAATGGCCCCCAGTCCTGTGCACCCTCTTTGAACAGCTGCCAATGCGCTGGGTGGCAAGCCTGCTGCAACACTTTACAGCTCTTGATGATGAGTAGCTGTTTGCCATCACCTCAAAGGGTTTAGCGGGAAGAAGCCATGGGATTGGCCTGGATCCTTGCGTCGGGCCACATGACAACTGAAACAGGAGCGGACACTCAAAACGCACTTGCAGTCTTCTTGAGATGGGCTTGCCCAAGGGAGGGCGTGTGAATGCCCATGCACGAGCAACGATTGAGACGGGGCAGGTGTGCGTACGGGACTGCACTCCTGGCTGCAATGGTATACACGCGAGTCACACCGCTCTGTTTGATCACGAGCTCATGAGTATGGGGGAGCGCAGGGGCAGTAGGGCCAGCCTCGCTTGGGTTTGGGGAGGAGGAGGGGCGCAGCCTTGTGCAGGCTGAGGGTCATGTGAACGCCCTGTGTGTGAGTGGCCGACCAAAACGGCACATGCTTGTCCGGAAAAGGAGCATGGGAATGTGTGAGTGGATGATGGTCTTGTGAGGAGAGGCTTGGGGTGTAATGGGGATTCTGAAGGTTCCAAGGAGGGTACTCGGACGTCCATCGCAAACGCTGCCTCCTCCCTCCTGCTGACGACCGGCCCGGCAGGCTCGGGCCCCACTGACTCGCACGTGAGCATCCGCGTCTGGCTGCGGAGCAGCGACGCAGATCCATCCATCATCAGAGGACCTCGGTGGCCGCCAGGCTTGCGAGCAGGCCGCCGTCGCTGACGCGCGAGGCGGCCGGCCCCACGCCGCCCTCCTCGCCGCCCTCCTCGGTCGGCCCCGCGCCGTCGCCGTTGGCCTCGATGGCGCGCAGCGCGTTGAGCGCGGCCAACGCCACGGCGCGTGGCGCGGCGCCGCGCACGGCCAGCGCCTCCAGGCTGGTGACGGCGTCGCAGGCGCGGAGCGTCGCCACGCCGCGCGGCCCCAGCGCGGCCAGCTCGCCGAGGCAGGCGGCGGCCGCCTCCTTGGCCTCCTCCCCGCCGATGAGCAGGACCTGGACCAGGCAGGGCGCGCCGTCGGCGTTCAGCACCGCCAGCCGCCCCGCCTCGCAGTCGAAGCAGAGGTCCCAGAGCGCCAGCGCCGCCGCGGCGCGCAGCTCGTCCAGGGGCGAGCGGACGAGGGCGACGAGCACGCGCGGCGCGCGCGACGAGGCCACCGCGGCGCGCACCGCGCCGCCGCAGCAGGCCAGGTCGGAGAGCGTGGCCGCCGCGGCGCGCGCGGTGGCGGGCAGCCCGTGCGCCGCGGTCTCGGCCAGCAGCGCGGCGGCGCGGGGCGCGGCGGCCTCCACCGCCTCCGCCTCGTCCTCGCAGGCCAACGCGCCCAGCGCAGCCGCCGCTGCCGCCTGCGTCGCCTGGCTGCA